TATTGAATTGCTCAGGTCCCAAAGGGCAACCCTGGACGAGCCACAGGAGGACAAGGAGATGAGCGGGAGCTTCCCACCGGAGCGTGGGGTGACCCCAGCCCTGGCAGCAGGGGTGAGCGCAGGGTTGGGAGCCAAAGGGTGTCCTTGAGAGACCGTCAGAGGTGGAACGGAGCATCTCCCGGGGGCGCGGGAAGGTGCTGTGTGCGTCAGCAGCACGGCCAAGGGGCTGGGGGCAGGATGAGGTCACAGCCCTGGCCTTCGGGCAGAGCACAGGGAAGGTCTCCCAGGAACCCAACAAAGGAGCCCTGGCCACGAGAACGCCGATACCGAGAAAGCCGCGGGGCGAGGCGGGAGCTGAGCCAGCACCGCGTCCCCACAGCTGCAGAGCACGGATTGAATTGAGTCTGTAAATTAAATTCCTTGAGAAATAATGAAGCACATAGGCTGGTGCTCCAGCCTGGGGGGGTCAGGGACAGCTCACAGCAGCAGCTGCCCAGCCAGGGGGATGGGGACACTGGCAGGGACAAGGCTGGGGGTGCTGGGTGGCTCCGGGAGCAGAAACTCAGGAGCTGAAAACTGCAGGTACAACCCAGATTTGGACACCAGGATTCCCAGAGTCATTTAGGATGGAGAAGACCTCCAAGATCATCAAGTATCCCATCCTGTGCCCCATCCCCACCTTGTCCCCCAGCCCAGAGCACTGAGTGCCACAGCCAGGCCTGCCTTGGACACCTCCAGGGCTGGGCACTCCAAACCTCCCTGGGCAGCCCCTGCCAAGGCCTCACCACCCTTTCAGTGAAGAAATTTTTCCTAACACCTGATTTTTCCTGGAGCTGCTGGAGGAGATAGCCAATCCAGCAGCCAGTGGGGATTTGGATTCTCTGTCCCAGAAGAAGGAATCCTCACGGACAGGACAGAGAAGCTGGTGCTTCAGAGAAGCTGCAGGAGAAGCTGCAGGATGTGGAGCTGGAAGGTGGTGGCCAAGGCAGACTCCTACTTGGATGGCCAAAGCAGGGCAGAGGGGAATCCCCACAGCAGAACCGGGGGGAAGGAACAAAATGCCGCAGGTGCTTGTGGAAGAGGGAAATCCATTAAAACTTAGTGGGCAGATGCCAGGCAGGCTGAAAGCTTGGACAAGCAACTCCCTCAGAGGATCCAAACCAGCCCCAGAGCCTTCCTCAAACAATTCCAGAACTGGGGGCACCCCAGAAAGCTCACAGGGCTGATGGGTGGTCCTGGCCAAAGGGAGCCCTTGGGGTAAAGGGAGCCTGGAAAGAGCAAATGGGTGAATCCCTAGATCTTTTGTGTTTTCCCTGGCACAGGAAAGACATGGAGCTGTTGGAACAAGTTCAGAGGAGGACCTGGAGATGCTCCAAGGGCTGGAGCCCCTCTGCTCTGGAGCCAGGCTGGGAGAGCTGGGGGGGCTCACCTGGAGAAGAGAAGGATCCAGGGACACCTGAGAGCCCCTGGCAGGGCCTAAAGGGGCTCCAGGAGAGCTGGAGAGGGACTGGGGACAAGAGATGGAGGGACAGGACACAGGGAATGGCTTCCCACTGCCAGAGGGCAGGGACAGATGGGAGATTGGGAAGGAATTGCTGGCTGGGAGGGTGGGCAGGCCCTGGCACAGGTTGGGCAGAGAAGCTGTGGCTGCCCCTGGATCCCTGGAAGTGTCCCAGGCCAGGTTGGACGGGGCTTGGAGCACCCTGGGCTGGTGGAAGGTGTCCCTGCCCATGGCACGGGACTGGATGAGATTTAAGGTCCCTTCCCACCCTTGAGAAGGTTGGAATTGGCAGCCCAATCCTGGAATCATGAGCCCATCAGATCCACAAAGGCTTCTGCATTTGGAAACGTTTCCACTGGAAACGGAGGTGCCAAGGTTGGTCTGAGAGTGGCACATGCAGGGAGAGGACAAGGAGTTCCTCCAGCAGCTGTAACGAGTGCAATTGGAATAACTGAGCTGCCCAACAGGAGAATGCATTCCAAGCTTTATCTGACAAGCACTGACCTTGAGAGAGCTGGATGGGGATGAGGCTGATGAAGTGAACCTTCAATTAACGGAATTGGCGGCGTGAGTGGCATTTGTTCCACTTTGCTGGGGAGCTGGGGTTGGCTGCAGGACACAGCCAGGGCCACGGAACAGCCACCAGCTCCCAGGGCCATGGATCGTGCCAGGCTGGCTCTCCTGTGCCAGGGAGGAGATCTCTGGAGCCGTGGATCGTGCCAGGCTGGCTTGCCCTGTGCCAGGGGGGCCTCCTGTCGCCACAGCCCCAGACCCGGGGACTCCTGCTCTGGAGAGAATTAAAAAGACAAACCACTCCATTCCTTCCCCTGGAAGGAGTTGGTCCCTTGGCTCTGACACTGAGATTCCTGTAAAACTGTTGGCAGGAAGTAAAGCCCAGGAGCCTTGGGACAGGAGGGAAATGAGGGTCCCCAACCCCAGTGTGGCCCAAGTGGACACAGATCATTCCCCTCACCACTGCCGGGAGCTGCTTCCCCAAACAACCCCAAATCCAGCAGCTCTGAGCATGTCAGGAGGGCTCAGGAAGGGATTAGAAAGGGATTAAGAGGGAAAGCTTTTACCACAAGCTGTCCCTGCTCCAGCAGTGCTGGACACAGTGGGAACATCACTGGGAGCCACAGCCCCCAGCAGGCCTTGGGAGGGGGGGCACAGGCCACCCCCAGCTCTGACACCCTCACCAAGTCCCAGTTTGGTGCTAAAAAGGGGCTTGTTGGGATAATTCACAGGAGAGGCCCATTAGCCGGACAATCTGCTTAAGGGAGTGAAAGAGGAGGACTAATCACTCTGAGATGAGGGCTTGGGATAATCTCCCAAGGAGCAAATAATTGGGCATTAAGGTGGGGGGGATGGAGGCTCCGAGCAGCCCGTGGATCAGTCCTGGCTCCGGGGGCTCCCCCATGGGAACCATGTGGACAAACAGCATGGCCCCAGTGCCAAGGGGCTCCCAGGGCCCCCCAGGACAGGGTCCTGGATCCATCGGGAATGGGCACTGGAGGTCTGGGGAGTCATGGCCACGGGCTGTCCCTGCCACAGATGGGGTCCCAGGGGGCCCCAGCGCCTCCAGGGCAGCCCGGGACACGTGTCCTGGGAAGGGGAGGAGGAAGGGGACTGTCCTGGGAAGGGGAGGAGCAGGGGGACAGGGAGGATGAGGATGAAGATGAGGTCCTTCCACAGGAATACAAGGCTGCACGAGGCAGCCTGAACACCACTCACCTGGGTCGGAGAGCCAGGTAAACGTGTCCCTGTCACGCTGCTGGAGTCAGGGCTCATTCCCAGCATCCAACATCCCCAACACCGCATCCAGAGCCAAACCTGCAGCCTTTGGCACTGGGGAGGGTCAGCCCAGACAGGCACTGGCACAGCCCAGGACACAGGATCTGGCACAGCCCAGGACACAGGATCTGGTCAGCCCAGGACACAGGATCTGGTCAGCCCAGGACACAGGATCTGGTCAGCCCACGGCACGGGATCTGGCACAATCCAGGGCACGGGTCCTAGCCCAGCCCAGGGCACAGCCCTGTCATGGAAATCACCATCAATGTGGTTTTCACGAGGTCAGCACTCCCAGCCCCAGCAGCGCCAACAGATGGTGCAGCTGGAACACTGGAGAGAAGGGCAGATCCTGCAGCAGGACCCAACAACCCCCGTGGGACGCACTGCCACCCCCACCGCGACACCAGCCCGCAGGCAACCCAAGTGCAGGACACTCCCACTGTTCCTGGCTCCATCCCTGTCCCAGGAGGGGCCGTGCTCCAACAGCAGCTCAGGAAGGAAATGGCTGTGGAGCTCGTCCTTCCTATGGTCCTTCCCGCTGTCAGGACACAGCCGGGGTTGGTGGAATCATCCTGAATTGGGGGGGTCAATGTTTGGATAATTCACAGGGCACTGTGCTGGGGGAACTCATCTCCCTCTGCTCAGGAGCTGGGGGTGTCCACACAGGTGCTCAGGGAACGGCTGACGGACTCCCTGTCCCGTGTCCCCCTTTTCTCCTGCCCCCACATGCTCCTCCCTTCCTACCCCGGCCGGGGGAGCCTCGTGCCCAGGGGAAAGTGCTCCCTGGAGCCAGGATGGCTGTCTGGGCACAGGGCCCCAGTGGTCCCTGTGTGCCCCTTCCAAAGGGTGTCCATGGTCATAAGGTGACTGCGGAATGAATCCCAGTGTGCTCACAGCACTGGCACTGGGAGACCAGTAAGAACCTCCCGACCAACTGGGGACTGTCCTGCTTGATGTCCCTGGACTCCAGGACTCGCAGCCTCCACTGCTGCCTAATCCCCAGCACAAACCTGTGACAGTCCTGGGACTCTGGCAGGGCCAGGCGGGAAGTTACAGATGTCCCAAGCGCCTAAGATCTAATTTACTGGGAACTGTATGAACTTACCTTACACCTCCAGGTTTGTTCCAACAGTCTGAGCGTGAAACACGGCTACAGCTCAACCCCCTGAGCTTCCCAGGCCCCTTCACCTGCTGTCACCTCCTGCAGTGGAGCTGGGAGTGCGGACAGGACCCAGCACAAACCAGTGCTGGACTGAGCACTCTTGACCATGGACAAGAGGGCACGGGCTTAAGCTCCGCCAGGGGAGGTTTAGGCTGGATATTAGAAAGAAGTTCTTTACAGAGAGAGTGATCAGGCATTGGAATGACCTGCCCAGAGAGGTGGTGGATTCACCGTCCCTGGAGGTTTTTAGGATGAGGCTGGATGTGGCACTGAGTGCCATGATCTGGTAATCACAGTGGGGTTGGATCAAGGGTTGCATTGATGATTTCAGAGGTCTCTTCTAACCCAGTTAATTCTGTGATTCTATGAGAAGTCACTGTGACACACCAGGAGGTGACAGGAGCAGCTGGAGCGTGTCCCCTTCTGCCTTGTGCTGTGCCTGGGCTCCCACCACAACACCCCCCAGCCCACACCTGACCTGTCCCCAGCCCGGTGAGCTTCCACAAGCTGTGCACCCCACACGACTAATTTCGGATCACACACAAGTAATTCCATGTTCCCAATGTTTATTCCTCCCCCACCTCTCCCCACAGGTGTCAGAACTTCTGGAACTGCTTCTTGGTGCCTGCGGCCTTGGTCACCTTGAGCACGTTGAAGCGCACGGTCTTGCTGAGCGGGCGGCACTCGCCCACCGTCACAATGTCCCCGATCTGCACGTCCCTGCAAGGACACCGGGGGGTCAGGGGCTCCCGGGGCACCCCTGCCCCTCAGAACCCCAAATCTGCCTGCTCCCTCCAGGAGGGAACACAGAACTCCCCCAGGTACTGCCCGGAACCTGTCCCATGGTTCAGCACATGCCAGTGGCATTGTCAGCAACCCCTCGCCTGGGGGACTCTGCAGACCATCGTGAGTTTGGACATCATCACCTGGGAGCAGGTTCCCGTGAGCAGCTGGGCCGTGAACCCACCCGTGTCCCACCCAGGTGCACCCTCACTGCAGCTCGTACAGGTTCAGCACCACACACAGTCAGTGTGGACAGATGTGGGGACACCCCCAGCACACCTGGCACAGCCCAGGGACACCGGCACACACGGAGACAGGGACACAGGGACAGCTGCACAACACCCCTGGTGCAGGGGGACAGGGACAGCTGCACACACCTGAAGCACGGGGACAGGGACACAGGGACAGCTGCACACCCCTGGACCAGGGACACAGGGACAACTGCACACCCCTGGACCAGGGGGACAGGGACACAGGGACAGCTGCACACACCTGAAGCATGGGGACAGGTGCACAGACATGTTCTTGTGGCGCTTCTCGAAGCGGTTGTACTTGCGGATGTAGTGCAGGTAATCGCGGCGGATCACAATCGTGCGCTGCATCTTCATCTTGGTCACCACACCTGGGCCACGGGGGACAGGCACAGGTATTCCTCTGTGTTCACCTAAATCCCAACCTCTAACCTCCCTTTGGGGTGTTTGGGTATCCTGCCAGGCCACAGGGCAGCCGCTCCCTCAGTGCCAGGCCATGCCCTCCCCATTTCTGTTACAAACCCAACGATGACTCTTTTTTAAGCCCAAGTGACACACTAACACTCCCTGCACCACCTGCTCCTGCCCTAGGGCAACACCTGCCCCCAGGCACAGCACACCCAGGGGGTCCTGGCCAGCACCTGGTCCTGTCACCTGCATCAGTGAAGCCAAGAGGCAACATCGTCAGGCCCGTGGTGGGCTCAGCAGACCATCGTGAGATCAGCATCATCTGCGGCTCCAGGACCAGGGCGGGGACAGGCACCTAGGGCATTACCTGCCCCAGGGACCTCAGGGGCCCTAGCTGGTTACCTGCCCCAGGACTCCCCCGGGATCTCCTCAGGGATGTCCCAGCTCACCTGAGAGGATGCGGCCCCGGATGGAGACGTTCCCAGTGAAGGGACACTTCTTGTCGATGTAGGTGCCCTCAATAGCCTGCAAGGACAGGTGGGTGCCAGGTGAGTGGACGTGGCTCAGGTGACACCAGAGCTCAGAGGACACTCATTACAGCAGGGAATCATGGAGTGGTCCAGTGGGAAAAGCCCTGGAGAAGACTGGCTCTCATCAGCACCACCACTGCCATCATTACCTATTCCCAAGTGCCACCCCCACCCTGGGCAGGGCCCTCCCGGGGGTCACAGCCGGAGGTCACACAGGCCCTGCCCAGAACCCCCTCACCTCTTTGGGGGTCTTGAAGCCCAGCCCCACGTTGCGGTAGTAGCGGGGAAGCTTCTCCTTGCCGCCCTCACCCAGCAGCACTCGCTTTTTGTTCTGGAAGATCGTCGGCTGCTTCTGGTACGCGCGTTCCGTCTGCAGGGAGCGGGACTGGGTCAGCGTGGGGCCGCGAACAGGACCCACCCGCCTGGGCCCTGAGGCCCTCAGCACCGGCGTGGAGCTGGCCCTGGGGCACCGAGACCCTCCCCCGCCCCCACAAGGCCCCAGGGGAACAGAGACCTCACACAACCCCGGAGCACCGGGCCCCGGGCCCTCCCCTAAACCCTCGGGGCACCGGAACCCTCTCCCCCCTTCTCCAAACCCCGAGTCACCAAGACCCACCCCGTAAAACCCCAGATGGCACAAAGATCTCCCCAGACCCCAGTGCACGGGAACTTCTGCCCCCGCCCCAAACCTGTGGGGCACCGAGTTCCGCCCCCATCGCACCCCCATCCCGGGGACACGGGCCCATCTCCTCCCCCCCGCTCCCAAAACTCCAGGCGACGGAGATTTCCGCCCCTCCCAAACCCGCGGGGCACGGGCCCCTCTCCGGGCACGGGCCCCTCTCCCGGCACTAGCCATCGTCGTCCCCACACCAAAACCCCAAGCACGGGACCCCCCTCGCCCACCCCCATCCCTGGGCACGGGTCCCTCTCCCGCCCCACCCCAACCCCGAGACTCCCCTTCGGCCTTCACAAAACCCCAGGGCCGAACCCCCCCCCGCGCGCCGCTCCCGACGCCCCTCTCCGGCTGCGGCCGCCCCCCCCCCGCGCCCCGCGGTGCCCGCTGGCCGGGCTGGAGCCCCGGGGGGGTGGCCGGGCCGGAGCCCCGGGGGGGGTGGCCGGGCCGGAGCCCCGGGGGGTGGCCGGGCCGTGCGGGGAGCGCGGGAGCTCCCTCAGCGCCCACCTGCGTGTCCGCCATCTTGGCGCGCGCGGCCGGAAAGAGGCCGCGAGGCGCGAGCGGCGCGGGTTAACCGGGGGGCGGGGGCACGGGCGGCAGTGACGTCATGGGGCGTGACGTCACCTGCCGCCGGGTGGAACGTGACGGGGAATGGAGCGGAACGGGGAGAGGGACACGGAGAGCTCGGGATCGGTCACGGCGGGGCATCCTCGCCCCGACCCGCCATAACCGCCCGGCTCCCCCCTCCTGGCAGGGATTGCAGAGCCAGAAGGTCCCCCCTGAGCCTCCTTTTCTCCAGGCTGAGCCCCCCCAGCTCCCTCAGCCCCTCCTGCTGCTCCAGCCCTTTCCCAGCTCCCTTCCCTTCCCTGCACACGCTCCAGCCCCTCTCTTGTGAGGGCCCAGAACAGGACACAGCCCTCGAGGTCCCTCAGTGCAGTGCCAGCACAGAGGCACAGAATCACTTACACAGTCTTGCTGGCCACACTATATCTGATCCAGAATTACCTCACCTGGGCCAAAAACCTCACCTGGAGCTAAAGGGATAGGTGGGAGTTGCTTAAAAATCGATTGGGAACTAGGAAAAAGTCTCACCAACAGGGATGTGAGGGCTGGAATGCAGCATGGTGGGGGCAGGACCCCCGGATTCCAGCCCGTTGCCAGCTCCTGGCCAGAGGGGAGGTGCCACTGCGATCTGACCACAGCAGGTTCATCTCCCTGCTCTGTTATTTGCTATCACTTCATCCCGTTGATTCCCAGCCCTGGTGTGCAACTGGAGCCTCAGAGCTGGGCTCTGCACCCCTTTGCTGAGTGGGTGACCTTCCATACTCCTGGGGAGAAAAAGGATGGAATAAAGCTCACCCTGCTTCCCTCCTTGGGGTTTCCATGCTGTACAACTGGAGAAAAGTAGCGATGAACACACTGAGTGACTACAATAAAAACATGAACTGCTGGCATGGGAAATATGCTTGCTCTCCAGCCATTGCTCCTGCAGGACACAGAGGCCCCATCGCCTTTATCCCCTCCATCCTCATCCCATCCAATCCCACCTCTATTTCCATCTTCATTCTCCTCACCCCTAGCCCACTTCCATCCAACCTGCATCATCCCCATCCCTAACCCCATCCATCCCCACCTCCATCCTCATCCTCATCCCAGCAGCACTGGGGAAGCTGCAGGTGATGGCCACGAACAGGGAAAGGGTTCTGGGGTCCCCGGTGGGTGCTGGACAGGAAATGTCACAGCACCAGGGGGCTGGAGCCCCCACACCTGGGGGGGGCCAACACCAGCACCTTCTCCACGTACTGCCGCTGCCCTCCAACAGCCACAGCTTCACCCCACGGTTCCAGCAGCACTTGCTGCCCTGTGGCCACCCTCTCGAGTGCCACACAGCTGAGGAGGGGCAGATGTGGGGCATCTCAGGCCAGCAGTGTGATGGGGGGCAGCCAGCTGTGTGTGGAGCCCCCCGTGTCCTGGCCAGCCCCCCCGTGCCCCGACAGCACCACGGACAAGGCACGATGCCCTCGACCAGACCCTTTATTCTGAAGGGTTTTACACAGCACAGACACACACACACCCTCCCCATGCACGGCCTCCCCGCGCCCCCCCAGCCCCACACCCTGGGGGTTGCATAGAGAGCAGCTGGGTGGGCGCTGGGGACCCCCGG